TCTACTAATTCAAGCAAAACGATCTTCGATTCCAGTTAAATCTTTGGTTCTTTAAGCCGTCTTTTCAGCAGTTCTGCCCTCAGAACATATAGACGGAAAAAGAAAATAAAAACTAACATGGTGGGTTGTTTTAATGGTCAGTAAAAAAAATCAATTAGCTGTTTTGTTCTTCCAGAAAAGTCGAAAATGTTAATGTTATCCAGCACAGCAAGAGTTGGTTAGGAGTCAATTTTCTTTTTTCCAAATGATTTTATCATTAGACATTTGCGTAATCAGGCATGACGAATATCATCGTGGCAAGACGATAAATGCAATCCCTTTCTTGAAAATGTAACGTACGATACACTGACTCAAGGTACACATAGATTCCAAAACACGGCATGTTTATGTGGAGTTTCGAAGCAAAGTACATCAGTGTTAGGTCATGTTAGTGCTAATGGTCGTTTTCTGTTGAATCTCAAATTATCACAATACTGAGTACTCTTCTAACAATAACAATTTTTAACATTTTATGTTAGCTCTTTCCTCGTCAGTTGCAACATTCGGTTGTGAATGCCTGAGTTCTTGTTTGTTTTTAATTGCTAACTATGGACATTCGATCGCATTAACGAGATTAACTTATTGAAACAAAGGAAAACCCTTACCTTGGAAATAGCTCAGTCAGCGCTTGGGACGTTTTGAGGGGAAACGAATGACCTAAATCGCATAAAACAGAAAATAGAATCAAATGTAAGAATTTAAAACTGATCAAAGCGAGCAAACACACACTTACTTATCTATGTTCACAACTGAGGTGAAAATACTTCGTCCTAGTTAATCCAACCTTAATTTCATACCTACACTTTTGTTTATTAATTTATGAACTTCTCGTCAGAACAAGTTTGTGGAATAAATGACATATTAAAATTGAATTTCCATTCTACCACACATTTTTATTGGTTGAAACAGTTTATTTAGTTACTAATTTGTCCAATAGGATGAAGTCTTCTATTCACCGTTTGTTTCAGTGCCATGTTTCGTTTTCACAGCAAGTGCTCTTTTGTTTAATCATTTCGCTGCTATTTCGTGTGAAGAAACCAACTTCACATCCAACTCCTAGCTATATATTTTCCTTCATATTAATAAAGAAACACCAGATCAGAGGATCTATTTTGCTGCATGGGTCATTTTGTTACAAAAATTCTCTTATAAGAAAACCATAAGAACTTTCATTTGTTTTCTCTGTAGCCACCAATCAGATGCGAGATAAAAACTCAATGAAAACAAACATCTCAGTCATTGCATCGATCAGTCACGATACGTTAACTATCCTTTGATCGCATTTCATTCCGAACTGTTGTCTATTGACCAGAAGTTTGAATTGGTTATTTGATCGTTTTCTGGCTGTGAATTAAGCAACGAATGTAGAAATTAAAATAATGAACAAACTGAAGCTCTCAAAATTCCACACGGGGATTGATACAATGAAGCATGGACTGGTACTAGTGCTTCAAAACCAGAAAGACATGATTCAGATTGTATGTGTGAGTCATTATATTTGGCAATAAAAAATAATGATAAAACACCAAACTAAACGGGTTAATTTATTTTTCGATTAATTAAAGACCGAAGTCAGTTCCAGATGAACCTGGATGAATTTCAGTTGAAAGAACTACCTAGATTGAACATACGTATAAAATATAAACCTGACTGTAATGTATCATTTTGGATGTAAGAACATCTTCGATTCCAGTTACATTCTTGATTCAAAGAACTAAAGCTTTAATGATGACCAAAAAAAATGGACTGTTTGCTGTTTTTTTTCCCCTTCCATTTAAGACCAAAATGTTTATGTAAACCTGTCTGAACCAACATGGTAAGTGTAAAATTTATTGTTTCATTTATCATTTGCGTAACAGACAAAATTCGATCGTTATAACAAGGCGAGAAATGAAATCCTTTTCATGAAAATATAACGTTGGGCACAGTTATAATGGCTAGATTTATACGTAGATTCCTAAACACGGCTGACTATATCAGTGTTAGTCTCAATGTTTTGAAGAAACGTACGGTAGGGTAGCCCCATGCTAGTTTTAAGTCTCTTTTGAATCTCATCTACATCACGATACACGATAGCTGACAAAAACAATGTGTTACATTTTATATAGGCCTTCCCTCTCCATCTGCATCATACGATTCTGTGTATTCGATTTCTCTTGTTTGATTTCCGATGCAAAACTGACACAATTCCGAGCAGAAAATGAAAATTCAAAATATACTGCTACAGCGAACGTTTTTGTCCTACCGACAGTCAAGCCAAAACATTTATCTAACCCGCCAACCCTGGAGCTACTTAATCTGATACTTAAAATATAGATTTATTAACTAAATTCATCAGAAGTTACTTTTGCCGCTGTACTAAATCGGTAAAATCTATGTCGGGATCCCGGTTTCTTTTACAGAGAAGTACAAAAGGTTCATCAAACGAACTGCAAGTGAGCTTCACGTAATTATGCAAAATCAAGAGACTGACTCGATGAAAACAAATCATGATTGCAAATTGTTGAACACATCGAGAACCTGTTTTCTTTTATAACTTTGCGAATATTTTGGAGGATCCTGAGATGAATTCACCCAATAGGGT